ATCTCCCCTGGGAGGGGGGAGGTCACCTGGCTTTGAGGTGGCGACTGCTCTTTGCTTCTCGTGGGGCTCTCGAGGCCATTGTGGCAGGAAGGAGGCCCCTGGGGCCGGGCCCCATGTGCTTCCTGGGCTGTGTTGATGGCCAGGGCTCTGGGAGGGGTGAGAAGAGGAAGGTTCTCTGAAGCCCATGAAGATGCCCATATGTTGAATTTCCAAGTGATTGGACCACGGCCCCACATGGGGTGTCAGCCAGGCCACAAGGGGGTGAGGGGACGTGCTGCCCAGGGGTGGTGTTTCCTCAGGGAGGGGCCCTGGCAGGGACAGCGGGAGGAGGTGGGTGGCCCCTCCCTGCTGCGGGCGCACGGGGGCGCCTCCTGGTCTCTGCTGAACTCGGTTCCCGGGGGAGGAGGGGCACTTCCCCTTGCGGTCTGCTGGGAGGAAATGCATACCTGTCATGGGTTGAATTGTGTCCCACACTGATCCCTCCCAGCCCTGACCCTGGGCAGCCTGTGGCCATTGGCGGAAGAGCCTTACAGAGGTGCTCGGGCACCATGAGGGCACCAGGGTCCCTAGTTGGACGGGACTGGTGTCCATCACACGAGATCGGACGCAGACACCCGAGGGGGAGACGTGAGGGGAGACAGGAGGGGACACAAGGGGGAGGAGGCCTGGAGGTTGCCTGGGTTCACTCCTCCCTCCCAGTGAGCAGCCTGGCCACACCTGGGTCTGGGCCCCAGCCTCCAGGGCGGGGCATGACTGTTGTTTAAGGACGGGACCCAGGGCAGTGAGGGAGGAAGGAAGAGAAGCTGAAGCCCTCTGTGCCTGGGCCATGACCGCTGCCCCGGGACCTCCAATGGACGCTAAGGCACCAGGACCTCCGATGGACGCTAAGGCACCAGGACCTCCAATGGACGCTAAGGCACCGGGACCTCTAATGGACGCTAAGGCACCGGGACCTCTAATGGATGCTAAGGCACCGGGACCTCCGATGGACGCTAAGGCACCAGGCATCTGCCCGTTTGCCTCGAGGCCTCCTGGGGGATGACAGAGCACTTGCCCTTTGGCTTAAGGAGAGCGAGAAAGCCGGAGTGGACGCGGTGCAGGGCGTCGAAGTGTCCCAGCCTCAGCAGCGTGTGCGGCCGGAAGGCCCTGGGAGGCCGGGCAGTGGGCAGAGCTGGGAAAGCTTGTGCCCCCCCTGTCCGCTCAGCGGGGCCGAACCCTGGGGCTCAGGTTTGACCCCTTCCCTAAGGTGCCCTCAGGCTCACCGCTGCGCTGAGTGGTACGGACCCGGCATGGAAAAGAGGTGAAACCCACTCAAAGGGGCGCGAAGGGAGAGTAGAATAAAAGCAAAGCGAGAAAGCAGGAGACCAAGGGTTCGAGCGGGAGAGCGAATTGAAAGAGGGCCTGGCCTCAGCTGGAGTCAGGGGTGGGCGCTCCAGGAGCTGCGAGGGCCTGGCCCCGCCCCGCCCACCTCCCCGGGGTTACCTTGCTGCAGCCTCTGCAGCTGTTTCTGCAGCTGCCGCTGCTCCCAGGCCAGCAGCTTCAGGTGGCACAGGTGGGCTTGCTCGAGTCTCTGCAGATGCTGGCTGAGCCTGGCCTCGGCCTGCTTGGCGTGCTTCCTCTCCAAATCCAACTGCTTATGCAGCGGCCTCCTGGCCATGTGCCGCTCCGTCCCCTTCATGCTCTCCTAGGCGACACGGAGGCCCCGACACAGCGAGTGGGCGCCTGGCCTGGCCTCTCGGGCGGGTCTGAGCTGCACTGCCTGCCTGTGAGGTGGAGGCGCACTGTTGGGAAGTCTGCTCTGCCGTGAATGAGATGCCAGGGACCCCGAGGACGGAGGGACAGTCGCTCCTCTGAGCTCTGCCTCTGCCCAGAAATCCGTGGTAGATGGAGTGTCCCCCCCACCCCCTGCTCCCCCAGGACCTGCTGTAAGATCAGGGAAAGCACACAGGACTCTGGGGAAAGAAAGGCAAGGCTGTCTGTGGAGACGGCATCGCCACCCACGGGAGTGCCGCCTGTCTTCCTCGGTGTCCGGCTCAGGGCTCCCTTCCGTTCATTCACTCACACGCGCAGGTCTGTGGCCTGTAACGGCCCCGTGCCAGCCGCTCTGGGAGGACGGGGTCCCGTGGAGGGAGATTTCAGGTCGGTGACTTGGGGGCCAAATCGGAACAATCACTTTCAAAAGTGCAAAGAGTGGGACCTGCTGGTCCAGGCGCTGCCCCCCTGGGCCTGACACAGTCCTTGGCGCCCTCAGCCTCTCGTCTTCCCAGAACCGCCCCCTCCTCCCTCTGGACCCTGAGGACCAAGCCCAGGGCGACTTCTCCCTGCTCAGGTCTCCTGGCAGTAAGGGCAGGGACAGGTCTCCCCGCTGGAGCCCGGGGTGAGTGGGTTTCCATCGATAGTGATAGTACCATGGTGGCAAGATGAGGTCAGGACGAGGGAAGACGAGCGAGGACACAGGAAAAGCTAGGCAGCCGCTCTGTGGACCGAAGGCCAGGTGAGCAGCACTTACCTGCGAGCCCAGCTCCCCCAGAGGATGCTGCTCCCTCCTCTGCGCTGGGTAAGGAGCTGAGCTGTGCTTCTTGGGTCCAGGGGTCTGGTGTGGGGAGCGAGGCCAGCTGGAGCCAGAGCGGAATATGCTTCAAAGCTCGCAGAGCCTGTGTCCCACTCAGGAATGCTGGCTGCCTGGCAGGCTCGCCCCAGGCTCTAAGTCCCGCCCCCTCAAGGGTCCCGCCCCTTACTGTCCCCGTGTCCATGGGAGCCCAGAGTGGAAGCCAGGCATGTCCGTGCTCGCACCCCCTTCTTCCTCCGCTTAGCCCTGGCCCCTCCTGTCCCCATTCCTGCTCCTGGGAAACCAGGCCAGGCCCCGGAGACGCAGAGTGGCTTTCTGTCTGTGCTCATCTGCGGGCAGGAGGGACCCGTTTCCTGGCGCCTCTCACCCCCCCCCCCCCCCCCCCCCCCCCCCGGATTTCCCCACGCTAATGTTTGTCCATGGGTTATGCATATCCTATCTAAGTGCCAATGATAAGATTTCCCAGGCTCAACCCAGAGCCGGACGGGAAACTGCAGGTGCTTCGGGATCGTCTCAGGGACAACGCAGGCGGCCAGGCCCCTGTGGGTTATGGAACGAGGTGTCAGTGGGATCTTGGCTGTTGCCTTGGGCGTCATCCGAGAACAAGAGGCATGAATGCTCCTCGGGGTTTACTCATCTCCAGAACCTCCCGGGAGGCAGCCAGGCCGGCCTGTTCCCCATGGCCCCCCTCACACAGGCTTTGTGGGGATCTCTGAGGGGGCTGCTCTCAGTGGGGAGCGCTCCCTCCCCCGCCCTCCCAGGACACCACCCTGCTCCTCCTGAATGCCAAGCCTGGGCCAGGGCGGGTTCCCGGAGAACCACCAGCCAGAGGGTGCCTCGCCCCATCGGGGACCTGGCAGGACCACAGAGCAGTGCATGCCCACCTGGTGGCCCGGAGCTGAGCACAGCGAGGGGGCTCAGGAGAGAGTTACCCCTGCCACCCTGGGCCGCCCTAGAGGAAGCTGCCTGTTCAGGTTCGCAGCAGGGCCCCGAGTTTGAGGGGCAAGAAGGAGCCCGAGTGTGGTGACTCGGGAGGGAATGGGGCCAAGCCCCGGGGTGCAGAGGGCCCCGGGCTCCTGGTCCTGCAGGAGCGGGGCTGGAGGAGGGAGCAGAGGCTGCAGCCTTGCCCTGGGAGACGCCAGGTCAAACGAGGTCATACTTCTCATACTTCGCCCAGAGCGTGCAGAAATGGCAGGGCCACGGGCGGACTGCAGGGGAGCGTCCTCACCACAGCCAAGAGCAGAAAACAGCGGGGCGCCCAGACCAGGAGTGCTGCTAATCAGGAAAGACCTGCCTGGTCCCTCCCTCCTGTCCTCAAGCTCAGGGGGCGCAGTGCTGGGGAGACGGGAGAGGAGGACTCGGAACCAAGGACCCCCAGGGTTGGAGGCTGCAGTGACAGAGCAGGTCACCCTCCCTCCCCTCCTGGGACCCAGGGAGGAAGGGATTAAATGACATGGGATCCGACTCAGTGCGAACTGGACTCTGGTGGAACCACGGTGGCCAGGAAAGTGTAGGGTCTGCCCACGGTCCTCAAGGGCCAGAATGCAAATGAACGACAGACGGAGGAAGGCTGTCACTTTAAGCCTCTGACGAGGTCACAGGCCAGGCCACCGGCCTTAACCCGGGGGCGTGGGGGGACTCACGGTGGCCTCACCCACATCGCTCACAGCCACCGCTCAGCCTCAGGGACCGAGAGGAGAAACCCAGTGCCCAGCAGCGTGAGCGCACGGAGAGGCACTGCCGGAAACTGCTTCCCCTGAGTCAATCAGACCTTGAAGTCTGGCTCCCAACGCACAGGATTCTGGGGGAGCTAATGGACAAGCTGAGAAAGCAAGTCCGAACGTGGGTCTTTCTAACCGGTGACCTGGTTTATCTGACGAGTCAATAGCAAGGGGGGCGTGGGGGGGGGGGGGGAAGAAAGGGCCTCTGGCCCGGTAATCAGCACTCAGCACTCGAGAGACACAGCCAGAGCAGCCGGCCTGCTTAGACCCACCTCCACCGCCTGCCTGGAAGGAGCCCTTGGGACAGGTGGGCATTTGAACGGGAGTGGGTGTTAGAGACCTAAAGTTCTTGTGGATTTGCTGGTTGGGCACTTCTGTTAGTAAGATCCTTATCAGTCAGCACCGCCTGACTGAGTACAAGGAGGGGACGTGTCTGCTCTCAAGCACGCCAGCCAAGTAAGATAAACTACCATGTGCATAGTTGTCTGCAAAGGGGAACATGGTGACGCCTGAAGCTGGGGTGTGGCACTAAAGGGTTTATTAGATGATTCTTTCTAAATTTGGAAATGTTTTAGGTTTTCTATAGCAAGTGCTTAAACATGTGTGAGGCAGCCAGGTGGAGGGGAAACTGATGACGGCCACAGGAGTGACAGGGAGTGACAGCCACGGGAATGACAGCCACAGGAATGACAGCCACGGGATGTCCAGAATCAGGTCAGTAATGAACACGCTCAGGTAAGACGCAGGCAGGACATGGGTATTTGGACAACAACACGGCAAACTCAGCCTCAGGAATGTCCTCAGCCTCCCTTCTCAGCAGTCGGGGAAAGTACACAGTTTTCGCATACCACACGCCCCACCTTGCGCCTAACGGCTCTGCACAGGACGCCGTCTCCATGGTGACACGCCCATGTCTGCCCCACCTACATGCTAAACATCCACCTCCCCTGACACGAGTGTCCCTGGGCCACCAAAACAGAGTCCCTCAAACTGGGCGGTTTATTTTACTTATTTACTTTTTAATATTTGTTCAATTGATTAGGTGACATTGGCCAACATGAACATAGGTTTCAGGTGTGGGTTTCTATGCTAGAAGATCTGTATGTTCCCCCATGTGCCCACCACCCGGAGTCACATGTTCTCCTGTCACCTCATATCAGGACCCCTTCGGCCCCCCACCCCCTCCCTCCGACAACCACCTCACTGCTGTTTGTGTTCATGATTTTTAGCTTTATATCCCACATATGAGTGAAATCATATGGTCCTTAGCTTTCTCTGACTCCTTTCACTTCGCATAATGTTCTCAAGGTCCACCATGTTGTTGAAATGGCGCAATTTCCTCCTTTCTCAGGCTGAGCAGTGATCCACTGCGCATGTGGACCACATCCTCTCTGTCCAGTCCTCTATCGCAGGGCACTGTGGCCACTGTGAATAATGCTGCAATGAACATAGGGGTGCATAGATCTTTGCGAATACATGATTTCAAGTTTTTTGGGTATATTCCCAGGAGAGGGATCACTGGGTCGTAATTTTTGGAGGAATCGCCAGACTGCTTTCCATAGTGGTTGCACCGTCTGCATTCCCGCCAGCAGTGAGTGAGGGTTCCCTCTTCTCACAGCCTCTCCAACACTTGTTGTTGCTTGTCTTGTTGGTAATGGCCACTCTAACAGGTGTGAGGTGCATCTCATTGTAGTTTTGATTTGCATTTCCCTAATTGCCAGTGAGGCTGAACATCTTTTCATCTATCTATTGGCTGTTCGTATGTCTTCTTGGGAGAGGTGTATTTTCAGGTCCTCTGCCCAATTTTCGATTAGATTGTTTGTTTGGTGTTGAGTTTTATGAGTTCTTTATTTATTTTAGAAATTAAACCTTTGTTGGAGCTACTGTTTGCAAATATCATCTCCCATCTGGTTGGCTGCCTCTTTGTTTTGTTATCAGTTTCTTTTGCTGTGAAGAAGCTTTTTAGTTCGATATAGTCCCATTCATTTATTTCTGCCTTTACTTTCCTTGCCTTTGGGGTCAAGTTCATAAAATGTTCTCTATGACCAAGGTCCATAAGTTTGGTACCTATATTTTCATCTATGCAACTATTGTTTCAGGTCTTATATTTAGGTCTTTGATCCATTTTGAGTTAATGTTTGTACACGGGGACAAACTGCAATCCAGTTTCATTCTTCTGCATGTGGCCTTCCAGTTTTCCCAAACCCATTTATTGACGAGACTATCTTTACTTCACTGCGTGTTTCTGACTCCTTTGTTGAAAATTCTCTCTTTGTCTAAACATATGGTTTTATAGCGGGGCTCTCTATTCTCTTCCATTGATCTGTGTGTCTGTTTCTCTGCAGTAACATACTGTTTTGATTATCATATCTTTGTAGTATAATTTGAAGTCAGGTAGCGTGATACCTCCAGCTTCATTCTTTTTTTCTCAGGTTTACTTTGGCTATTTAGGCTCTTTTGTTTCCATATAAATCTGATGAATTCTCGTTCTATTTCTTCAAAAAATGTCATTGGGATTTTGATATAGATTACATTGAATCTTTAACTATGTTGATTCTTCCAATCCATGACCATGGGCTATTTTTCCATTTTGTTGTGTCTTTCTCAACCTCTTTTAACAATGCTTTGTAAATTTCAGTATATAGGTCTTTCACGTTCTTTGTTAAGTTTATTCCTAGGTATTTTATTATTTTGGTTGCAATTGCAGAAGGAATTTTTTTTGGCATTTCTTTTTCTAAAGTTTTGTTGTTAATATATAGGAAGGCGATGGATTTTTGCACATTAGTTTTGTATCCTGAAACTTGTCTATATTTGCTTATTGTTTCTAATATTTTTTTGGTGGAGTCTTTAGGGTTTTCTATGTACAGAATCATGTTGTCTGTAAAAAGTGATGGTTTGACTTCTTCCTTCCCTACTTGAATATCTCTTATTTATTTCTCTTGCTTTGTTGCTCTGGCTAGCCCTTCCAGCACTATGTGGAATAAGAGTGATGAGAGTGGACATCCTTGTCTTGTTCCTGATCTTAGGGGAAAAGCTTTCAGTTTTTCACCATTGAACATGAGATTAGCTGAGGGTTTATCATAGTTGGCCTTTATTATGTTGAAGTACTTTCCTTCTATCCCCATTTTACTGAGTGTCTTAATCATAAGTAGATGTTATATCTTATCAAATGCTTTTCTATCGATAAGTTCATATGGTTTGATCCTGTCTTTGGTTAATGTGGCGTATTACGTTGGTTGATTTGCATATGTGGAACCATCCTTGTGCCCGTGGAATGAACTCCACTTGATCGTGATGGACTGTTGTATTTGATGAGCCAGTATTTTGTTAGGATTTTTGCATCTGTCATCATCAGAGATATTGGTCTGTCGTTTTCTTTTGTGTGTGTGTGTGTGTGT